TTCAAACAGCAAGACAGACTGAAACGTCTCCATGCCCCAGCGGCTGACTGAGAGATCTTTTCCTCTCTCTCTCTGCAGTTGCAAAGGAATAAATTTAAATTAAAAAAAAAAAAAAAAAGCCTTAGAAGAAATGTAGGGAATGAGCGAGGGAAACTAGGGCTGCTGGGGAGGGGGGAGGGGAAAAAGAGCTCTGCCTTCAAGTTTGCTTTCCAAGTCCTTCCCTTTGATTGTCTTACTAACAGGGTCCAAGGAAGCAAACCGAGACCGAAATGCCGAGAAGGGGGAAAAAAGCAAAAGAAACAAAAGCAAAGGCAGGGGCGACAAGCCCAGGGCAGGGGGCCGGCCGGAGGCAGGCCGGCCGGTGCAGAAAGTGAAGTTGGGTGCAGGGACTCGGAGGCACAAAGCGAGCAGCGTGCAGGCTGCAGGCTCCGGCCGTGCTCGCTGCGAACACGTGCAGCAGCGGCTGCGGGGCCGCGGGGCCGCGGGGCCGGAGGAACCGGGCCCCCCGACTGCCGCCTGCACCCCACCCTCCCGCCGGAAGACAAGATTCCCCGGGAATCAGCCCGTGGGGAGAAAAGGCTTAAACATCTCGGCTGGTTAACCTGGGGCAGCAGCCTCGGTCACACCGCACACACCTCAAGCGCGGCTCCCGAATTTCATGTTGTGTCCAGAGACGCAACACACGTTACTTTGCGGGGGGGAAATCTCAGCAAATGCATTTGCTCCCGCAATGCCGGCCCCGGGGTGCGCAGCGCCGCGGCGGCTGCGGCTGTTCATTATTAATGACGCCGCTCGCCCGCATCATTACGATGATAACTGTTACTATTGTTGTGATTTCGGGCTCCGGAGCCGGGGCTGCGGGAGGCGGGGGAGCCGGGGAGGTCGGGCTGAGCCGGTGGAAGGAGTGAACCCGGAGACTTCGGGGCCAACTTGCCCGGTCCCAACCCGCCGGCCTCGCCGCGGAGCCGGAGCGCGCGCTCCCCTTTCCTCCCCGGTCCAGACGCCGCCCGGGGGCCCCGAAGGAGAAGGAACTAGCCCTGCGCCCCGCTCGGCTCCCGGTTCTCCGGGGCATGGGGACGCACTGGGGTGCTTCCCTGCAGCCCTGGCCTGGAGCATTTTTAAAGTCCAAATGCAGAACAAAGACAGAAGGGGTGATGGGGGTGGGGGGGGGGGGAGAGAATGGAATTCTGCCTAACCGTCCGTTTCCCCCGCCCCCGCCCCACCCTACAGCAGAGCTCTTCCCTCCCCTGCGAGACGCGGAGAGCAGGGGGGTGGGGGCTGGGGGAGGCTCTGGTGCAGGTTCAAGTTCGCTGAGCTTTCTTGATCTTGGTCTGCCTCCTAGCGACCGAAAAGCTTCCATCCTTCAGCCCAAGAAGCAAAGGATTGGGGGGTGGGGGGGGATGAGGAGGGGGGGAGAATGTCCTGAAGATCCGAATGACTCCCGCCCCCTTCTTGGCACCCAGGAAAGCGAGCGACCCCGCCCGCACCCCCTCCAAGCTGGTCTCAGACCCTAAAAGCCCGCACTGGGGTGAGTGGAGAGGAGAGGGGAGGGGGGGGGGGAATGAACCCACCCAGCCAGGAGTACCCCGGGAGGGACCCGGGATGGGGGTCGGGGTGCGGCGAGGACGGCAGGTCTCAGGCCGCCCTTGGGAGCCACCAAGGCTGTCCTTCCGAAGAAGAAGGGCCCGGCTTTCCCGACTCCTGCGAACGCGGCCCTGCCTTCCCGCCGGTACCTGGCCGGGCTGTAACTCACACCGCCGCGCCCGCCGCGTCTGCTCCGCATCCGGCGCGGCCGGGGGAGTGGGGGGCGGGGAGCGCGCGGCGAGGGAGGGCGGGAGGCGCGGGGGTGGGGAGAGGGAGGGCCCCGCAACGCGCCGGGGCGGGAGAGCCTCCAAACTGTGTGTGACAAGTTCCAGGGCCCAGGGAAAAAATCGATTCTCTGTGCGCAACCCCCCCCCCCCCCAACTTAAAAAAAATAATAATACAGGATTGGGTATATAGACGGTCCTTTAAAATGGCATCAAACATTAAAATAAGGGTGGTGAGCGAGGAGGGGAAAGGGTGTGGGCCCCCTCTCACGCCTTTCTTTCCCTCGCTGACAAACTTTCCTTAAGTGGCCACCCCCGCCTTGCCAGACGCACGCTCTTAGCCAGGAGAGAGCCACCCACCCAGCCCTGATGGGGGCTCACCAAGGCCGCCACCACCACCACCTTTCACCCCCATCCCGACCGAGCCAGGCCCCGGATAGAGAGCAAGAACTCAGGGGTGGGGGGCGCAAAGTCCTGAGATGCAGGACTCCCAGAACGCATCCTCGAATATACTCCCCCCTGACGACCACCCCTCATCCCCCCCACCCCTACCTGGCTAGTCAGGGCTCAGGGGGGCCAGAGGGACCGAAGAGGGGTGCTGGTAGCCAGATCGGGTGCAAGGGGGACAGGGAAAGCACGTGGTGACCTCCCCGCTGTCCAGAGCTGTGGACAAGAGACGCGGGGGGGAAGGGAGGCGCGGGGAAGTGGGGAGGCAGAACGCGCTTTTTCAGCTGCTTTGCAAAATAAAAACGCTTTGCAACGCCGAGTTTCTCCCCAGCCGATTCCGAAGTCTTGAGTGTTGTGCTGGGGGCCTGAGGGGGCTGCGGACCCCGCCAGCGCGGAGTCTCGGCGCGGCCAGCCGCAGGGCCGGCGGGCGGGCGGCGGGCGGCGGGCGGGGGTGGGCGATCCGGGCCGGGCGGGGGCGCGGCGAGGCCCGGCGAGGCCCGGGCGCTGAGGCCCCGGTGAGGCCGGGCCGCCGCCGCCTGCTCCCGCCCGGGCTGCCGCGCGCGCCGCGCTCGGTCCTCTCTGTCTGTTTGTTGGCAGGAGGCTCCCGCACACGCGGTGCTTGTAAACATTCAGACACGAGATTTTTCCCAATCAAAATCCACTTCCACTTTTTTTGAAAATCTTCCAAAAAATAGTAAGAGGAGGGAGTTCCTCGCTCCCTCTCCGCGCCGCTGAGCGCTCTAAGTTTGCAACTGAAGGGGTTTGGGGCGGGGGGGAAAGAGGTCATTGTGCAGCATTTCTCCCCATTATTGAAAGAATGTGAGATTTCTGCCGGGGGGTTAGCGGGGGGGGGGGGTGCTCGAGAGGAGAAGCGTTGCAGAAAACGGCCGGCGGAGCGTTTTTTGTTTTTTTTTTTTTGGCTTCTCGATTTGGGGGGCAAAGAAATGTTGCCTTCTCTTGCCTTATTTTATATAATTTTTTAGATACATTTTTTTACGTTGCTCGTCTTCTCGCTGCCGCGGAGCGGAGGCTGGGAGGGGCGGGCATCCGCAGCCCAGGCGGCGGCGGCGGCCGCAGCGGCCGGCTCTGCCTCCCGGCAGCTCGCCCCGTGCCCTCGCTCCGGCCCTGCGGCGGCGGCGGCGGCGGCGCGAGGATCCGGCACAAAAGGCGGAGGGACGGACGGCCACCTCGGCCCGGAACAAAAGGCCGGGCAGCGCGGACCGCGGCTCCGCTCCTGCCCGGCCGCCCGGCTCCCCCGGCCGCCGCCGCGGCCCCTCTCCGCGCTCCGCAGACTCCGGAGAGAGCCGGGGGCCCCCTCCCACCACCCCACTTTCTCACTATTGTAAGGCGGCCACTTTCCTCCCCGGGCACACTTGACCGCGAGCGCGCTCATGTCCGAGGGCCAGTCTCACCTATTTTCTCCCCGGGAATTGTCTTTTTTTTAGGCTTGAGTTCCCTATCACACACACACACACTCACATACACATACACATTCACACACACACTCACATACACACACACACACACACACACACCCGCTTCCCTTCCTTGGGTGAGTGCAAGCAAAAGCCCTCCTTTCCCTTCCAGTTCCCTCCCCTAGGTCTGCCTGCCTGAGAGTTGTTCGCATCCATACATCTATAGCATTGTTCGTTTTTTTTGTTTGTTTGTTTTTTTGTGTGTTTTTTTTTCAAAATTGAAGGAGAAATCATTGCATTCCTTTCCGAAAAGCGAAATAAAGCAGCGGAAAGCAGGCAAGAGGAGAAGTCCCATTTTTTGTACGGTTAAAATAAAAAAGGTGCTTTGCTGTCCCAAAAGTACCTACGGCTACGGTTCGGGATGGAATGAAGGTTTTTTTTTCCTCCCTTTTAATCTCTTTTATCCGACTCTCGGAGGTTTTTATTTTTCTTGTGGGGGAAAAAAAAATTTTTTTTAATGCATGCACACACACCCCTGTCTGCTCCTCGCTCTTACTTGTGGTCCCGCGCGCTCTCGTGATTATTAGTAATTATTATTACTATTATCGGGTTACTTACGCGAGAATTCCCGTTTGCTTAAGTGCTGGGGTTTGCCTTGCTTGCGGCGAGACATGGTGGGCTGCGGGGCGGGAGGCGGCGGCGGCGGCGGCGGCGGCGGCGGCGGGCGGACGGCGGCTCGGTTCACATCGGGAGAGCCGGGTTAGAAAGGAGACTCCAGAGAAAATATCTTCATCAGTGCCTTTTGACATCCAAAATAAATTAGAAATAATACAAAGATGGCGCAGGGAAGATGAATTGTGGGAGAGCCGTCATGGCTTTTTTTTTTTTTAGCAAAAAAAAAAAAAGAGAGAGAGAGAGAGAGAGAGAGAGGAGATAGAGGGAGAAAGAGAGAGCAGAGAGAGAGAGAGATGAAAAAAATGGCAAAAGCCCCCCTGAGCTGCAAGTTCAAGTGCGGACGTGACGTCCCTGCGAACTTGAACGTCAGGAGTCTGGATGGACAGAGACACACAAAACATGGGCAGGGCGAGCAGGAGAGAAGGGGAGGAGGGAAGGGGAGGCTCACACCAATGGACACACATCAGGGGCTGGACATGAAAAAGAGACCAGGACAAGCCAATGGCCAGTGCGGGGCGGGGGAGGTGCGGGCGGGGGGCTCCGCAGACGCCAGGCGCGGCCCCCGGGAGAGGGGCGGGCGCGGGGGAGGGGGCGCCGGGCCGCGGGCTCACCAGCGGCCGCCACGAGCGCCCAACGGCGGCGTGGCTGGGGGGGAGGGGGGGAAAGAAAGAGGCGGAGGAGGGGATAGGGGTGCGTGGGGGGGGGGGGGCGAGGGGGGAGCGAGACGTGCTCCTTCCCCCCACGCCGCACGTGCACCCTAAAATGAAAGCTTTCTTTGCAGCCGGAGTGCCCGGGGAGGCTGCTGGCTGCCCGGGGCCGGAGCGGCGCGGGCGGAGGGAAGCCAGGTAGAGTTGCTCCCGGACACCCTCCCCCGGGCGCACCCCCACTTCCCCTCCCGCCGCCGCGCTCCCCGCTCCCCGCGTGCGGACGCCGCCGGCGGCCCAAGTGAAAGCCCCGAGCCCGCCCGCGGCAGCGCTCGGGAAACTTTGCCCGAGGAGAGGACAGGGCTGGCCAAGAAAACCACCCCAAGTTGGGAGCTGAGCCTCCCAAGTTGCAGCTCCGCAGCGGGCGAGGGGAAGGCAGAAGGGAGCGCGTGGCGGCGCGGAGTCCAGCCCAAGTTTGGAGGGTGGCGGGTCGGGGAGGGCAGCGCGGGGGGCTCTGGAGAGAGGAGGGGGGCAAGGGTGTGGGAGGCGATGCAGGACCCAGGAAGGCGCCCCCAAGGCCGAGCGGGGGGTCCGGGGTACTGGAGCGCCCCGACCAACGATTGGGTCTGGATGCAACTAGAAGCACACGGAGTAGAGGCGCCCAAAGGGTCGCGGAAAAAGAGAGAGGAGAGAGGCCGAGAAATAAAAACATGAGCAGCCAAACTCGGGGCATGTTTGGGGCTCCGGAGGGGAGCGATGGAGGCGCCGAGCGGCCGCGGGCCGGAGGACAAAGCGCGGGCGGCCCGGGAGCCCAGCCCCTGGGAGCGCGCCGCTGGCGCCGCGGGGGGTCCCGGAACGGGGTCCGGAGGAGGGACACACCCCCTCCCGGTCCGGAGCCGCTGCCTAAGCGCAGGAGCATGAAAAAGAAAATGTTTCTTACGGACAGAGCACAACTACTCCTGTGCTGTTACCCGGGGAGAGAACATAGGGAATGGAGAGAGCGCGCCTGGCTCGCTGGGGCAGCGGGGATGCGGTGGTGGCGGGGTGGCCGCCTGGGTCAGCGCCGGGCTCCCCACGCCGAGCCGCCCCCCCCCCCCCGCTCCCCTGGAGCCCGCACCACCCCCCTCTGGCCTCTCTGCAGCCGTTCCCGGGAAACTAGGGGAGACCTGTTGGAAATGAACCCCTGTCTCTTTAATGCATGCGCGCGCGCTCCAGCGCGTACACACACACACACACACACACACACATGCGCGCGCGCACACACACACACACACACACACACACACGCTACCGCTGTCAAAAAGCGGGCTTCACTCTGGCGTGGGATACTTTCAGTTTTTAAGTAAAATGTACAGCAACAGCACCCCCTGCGATTGGAAAGTTTATTCGGAAACGTGCCTCCCCGGTCCCCCGGCGGCGTCCCCCGCCTCCCCTCCTCCCCGCCGGCCTGCGCTACCCGCAGCCCGGGCCGCGGAGCCCGCGCCGCAGTCACTGACCCGGAAGGCCAGGGGGGCCGGGGAAAGGGCTCGGGTCCGAGGGAAGCGGGGAGCGTGCGGGAACTCCGAGCTGCAGGTGGACGCGCGTGTGAGTGTGTGTCTTGCAGAGCGAGGAGTCTCCCTCCGTCCGCTCCCAGCAGCTCCACCACCCCCTCGTGGCTTCTCTGTCCCCCTCCTCGGTCTAAGAGACTTCGTTTTGGGGTTTTTTCCCCTGTACATTCGCCCACCCGGCAGGGGGGCTTTCTTATTTTAAAAGCAAGGGCCTGGGCTGGCAGGGGCGCGCCCACCTCCCCAGCCGCGCCGGCCAGCGGCTGTTGATTCCTGGGTTGTCTCAGTAAAGTTTCCAACCTATTGGAACACGACTGGCTTGCCTATAGCTCAGCGAAGCTTCGGGTTCTCCTGAGGAAGAAAAAAAAAGAGTTTGGACGCGCAACCTTAAGAGAGATGTGGGCTGGAGTGCATTGGTGTAAATGTGATGTGTTGTTTCTCTCCAGTTTGGGGGGGGGGGAGGGGGGACTCAAATCCTGTTTAAGAAGCTGGACGATTCACTTTCAGTAAAAGCTCTGTAGCGTGTACGTTTCACCATTTCCCCTTTTTCATGAGTTCTTCAGAGCAGGTCAGCATCTCTCTTCCACTACTATTTTTTTTTTTTTTTTGGTCGAGTTAAACTTAGAGCAGCCAAAAGAATGTCCTTGCAGGGTGGGGAAGGTGGGGAGGAGGGGAGTGCTAGGAGAATAGTTGGAAGAAGGGGAGGAGAAGGGATAAGAAAGTGCAACTGGGAGGCCTTTGCATAAACAGAAGTCCCTTCAGGTAACAATAGGGAGTCAGATTCTTTCCGGACCCAGCTTTTCGAATTTAAATGTTTTCCCCATCCATCCATAAACGTCCACATATAGAGAAGGTATATACATGGGCAAGGGTATTGTGGAAATCTATATGTATGCTTTAGATGGAGTGGCATGTATGAAGCTTTTCAGGGGGGGGGTGGCTGTAGTGTAAAAAGTGATGACTTTATTACCTCGGAAAGGTTGTGCGCGGTTCACATTTCACAGTCCTCGGAATTGTAACTCATTGCACAATTCTGTGCTCTCTGCAGCCGGGACCCTATCAGAGCCGCTATCTGTGGTTATTTCCAATAAATAACTGGCAACATTTTATTGATTTTCTTTTGAAAAAGAAAACATAGGAAATTAAGCACTTAGTTACAAGGAGGTCTGCTATGTTACTGCACTTGTTTCAGATTCTTGGGGAGGGTTGGGGGAGGGGGGTTCCTTCCTAAACCACATCTATAAACATACATTAAAAGCCCAGTTTTGCAGCTGCTTTCCCTGGGTGCCCATGGAGAGGGGAGCAGTGACATTGCCACCATTAACATAGACGTAGTGTTTCCATCATAAAATGCCCAGAGTGAGATAGGAACTGCCCTCTGCTCCTGCCCTTTCTCCCCCTCCCCCGCCCCCCATTTCACCCAGTCCAGAAAACCAGACCTGTGTGTAAGCATTTGGTCCCTTCTGATCACGGGCCCCAAGTCACGGTGGTACCTCGGGCTCATCCCAGCCAGTGATGCCCCCTCCCTATGGAGGCCGGATGGCTGGATGCTCACTAAAGCGCCCAACAGTGGGGAGGGGGGAAGGGAGTCTGTATGATTGTTTCAAGACTTAAAGATGTGTTGTTTTTAAGAGATTTTAAAATATGACGTAAGTATTGATTAACGATGCAGGTGGTCTTGTAGAGAGGTGAAAGGTCACTTCAAACGAGCACACTTGGATACGCAAATAAGTATATGTACCTTCCCAAAAGTGGCTTTCAGAAAGTGATAAATTGTGACCACGTTAACATTATTTTTCTGACCGTTCAGTTAGCTTTCTTTGGAGCTGCGGAGCCTTTGCTGATTCCAGGAAGGGGGTAAGAACCTCCGTGGGCTCTTTCCCCAAACCTTGGGTGATGGCATTGCCTGCAAACTGCAGGCCGGCCAGACGACCCCTCCTTACCCTCCCCTCCGCCCCCCTTTTTATCTTGCCTGCGGAGGAGACTCCCCAGGACTTCCTGCAGTATATATTCCACCTCTGATCTCCCTTACTTAATAGCCAAGCCCTGGTTTATGCTTTATAATGTGTTGACAAGTTTTCTAACAGACTTTCTGAAATAATGCACATATATTCACGTCGGTTAGAAACCCACCGTATTTTTTTAGAGCCCAGGCAGATCTATACTCTAATGCAGGGAGAGGGTGTAAATCATAGAGGATTTCATAGTCCTTTCAGTAGTTTTCCGTATGAAGTATGAGCCGCGTGGCCTCCAGACGTAACCTTTTAGAAAAAAAAGAAAAGAAAAAAACGACAGTGCTTTTATTTTATGGTGTAAAGTGCTTTTAGCTCCGGGGCTCTGAACGTGAACGTGGTCAACAAACAGCTCCGAGAGGGAGACTTCCTGCAGTCCCAGCCCTCCTCATGCCACGGATCGCCTGGTGCGGGAGACTCCTGGCTGAGCCGGGGAACGAAGGGTTAAAGGGTCTGTCTCGATGGAAACTACGAGATTACAATAAAATATTCACTGCCTGCCTGGAGGGGGAAATACCTTTACAGACTTAAAGGTAAATAAGTGAATGACTGAATGAATGGGTAAAAATACTATGGATCCCACCTTGCTTTTCACTCCCCCCCCCCTCCAACGCACCCCCTAAAGGCAGTTCAGAAAATAGAGAATGGGCAGTCGTCTTCATAAAAATAACACAGGGACGGATTCTACCCTTAGCATAGGTTTGCATGTGGGGGTTCCTGCGGGTGTTGTGAGGACAAAGGAAAATGGATCAAAAGAGAAAGGGGGGTTGTGTGGGAGGAAGGAGGGGGGCTTTGGGTGGGCACCCTAAATTGCCAGGCGAGCAGAAGGGCCACACCTTCTTCCTCCTCTCCTTCCAGTGTGATTCGGCATCTGGGACCTAAGGAGGCCCCTGGGGGGGCGGGGTCTACAACTTCTGCCCAGGCACAGACTTCCCCCAGGGAGGTTCCTTGGAGCAACACTTAGTCTGGTATTTCCCCAGAGGCTCCCTGGGCCTTTGACTGGCTGGCAGGCAGGCCACCTCACATACCTGGATGAACCTATCCAAAATATGAGAGGGAGGGTGGGAGGGAGAGAAGGAGGGAGGAAAAAGCTGAATCTGCTCTAACTAAGCCTATACTTGCCTCCAGACTGGGCAGCTGTGTGCTGACTCAATAATGTGTGGGGAGAGGGGAGCAGCAGTCTCACCACTGAAGGAAGAGGCCCCTTTTAAGACAACCAGGAGTTCTGTTCAGAACACAGCTAGGTGAAATAGTCAACTCCCTAAGGTGGACTTCAAAAGCACACAGCTGTGGGGCCATGAAGCCAGTCCAATGTACGGTGTTAGAGATGTCTTCATGCAATACTCAGCACATAGTAGATGCTCAATAAATGGTTTTTGAGTAAATAGTGAATAAATCCTATGACTACATAAATGAGGCCAATGTAACCATCCAAATTCTATTAATCTCCCCCCCTCCCTGCACCCCACAAACTAATAAGGCTTTGATCAGGCAACCCTACTAAGAGTGCATCTCAGCCTAAAAGTAATTCCCACCAAGGATGGTGAGATTTAAAAAATATATAATCCCAAATATCAGAGCAGCTGAACAATTAAGAATACAATGCAAGATATTTTCATCAAGTCAAGCAGACTACCTTATCAAA